TGGCTTCATACCGGAATCTCTTCAGGCCTCTTTTCTCCCTCAGCCTAAACTATCTTCTCTTTTAACAGCCCTCAGCTCCTATTCTTCCACCTCTACCAGGCTCCTTGACCATAGTTTCGGGGGTGTTGGTTGTAGCTGTGTTGGCCTAAGGACATAGGCAGACAAAGTTATTTGGGTAAATTTGACATCTTTTAGTAGACCAACTGAATAGTTGGAAAATTTGTTCTTTGCAAGGTTTCAGGCACAGGCTTCCTTCCTTAGGCATAGGGAAAGTCTGCTGGTATTTGTCTTCTCTCTAAGGTCTTCTATTTGGACCCTAGGGAGAAGACAAACATCAGCAGACTCAAATTTCAAATTTACCCAAATAACCGTGTCTGCCTTGACCATAGTGATTTTTATCAGTGGTCTGTGATGTGGCCCTTACTTTCCTGAGTTTAGTTCTCCTCAAGTGCCCTGAGTTTTTAGGCCTTCCCTGGTTGACAACACATAGCACACATGAATGCCCCTCACCACACTCACACGCACGCACACACATGCACACAGGTGTGTATGCAATGAGATTTGGAAATGGAAGCCAGCTCAAAATGATCCCAGACATAGTGAAAACCTAAGGCAAAGCCTGTTAGGGACTGGAGAGATGAAAGGGCTTCTGTGAAGCAGGTTGAAGCTTAGGAATAATAGGGTTTTAGGTTGAGGTTCTAGATGGCTCTAATATTGTCCAGATTGTTCTGCCCATTTTTCTTGTAAGGCACATGCTTCAAAGGGGATTTGCTATGTTGCCTTGAATCTACCTGGCCATATGATTGAATAGATTTGGAGTCTGAGCTCCCTTTTTCACCTGGAGGAGGGCCTTCCAGAATAGGGTTGAGGCATATTGGTCAGCCTGTTTGTTTTGCTGTTGCTCATGCTCCACTTATTATGCCAGCCCAGTACTAAACTCACATTAAACTTCTTTTTATAAAAGGACAGGAAGTGTGTTTTGGAGGTGAATCATGTGGGGATGGGAGAGGAAGGGCCTGGAGAAGAAGAGCCTAAATGCACGATGATGAACACCATTTTTTTAATCATCCTGTGGGATGCAGCTGTAGCCCATCAGAATTATGTAGGACTTACACACAGCGAACACAGCTAGACTGTCCTGAGGCAATTCATTTCAAATCAATGGGATTTTGGTGGCATGAGAAGATAGACAAGTGTTGAAGCAATGTAAGGGAAAAAGAGCCCTCATTAATCTGTAGAGACAGGTAAGAGCTTCACACTGTGTCTCATCTCTAGTGACTTTTTCTCATTCTTGTCCATCCCTGATCCAGTGATAGGTTGCTCTGCAGAGTGCTGCTAACCTACCGTCTCTCTCCTTCCTCTCAAGGGCCAGACAAATTCTTCATTGCTTTTTAAGGAGATGTCTTTGATGGGTATTGAGCTCCCCTATAAAAATGTATGAATTCTGCACACTGACATGCTCACTGGGATGTTAACTGTGTGACAACATTGGGTTAAATCAGCAACGATGCTTTGGAACAATGGCTAATAATAAGACACCTGTCAGTAAACAGTTGAGGGTCCCAACAAAACAATGGACAGCCATTCACTCTGAGGAGGCTGGCTCAAACTTCTGCTGCTCTCACAAAAGAAGTGTTTGACTAGTAGGGTGAAAAAGCTTGGGAAGGGAGAAGACAAAGAGTGCTAGCTGAATAATAAGGGAGAGAAATTAGTATTGTTGGGCTGTTCAGACTGGCACTCAAGACTCACTGGTATGTCTCAAGAAGCCAGGCCTGTGTGGGTGGTAGGCCTTTAAGTGGAACAGATATATAGGCAGATGGGTTTAAAATCATTTTCTCTAAAGGCTTGATTCCTATTGTTAAGATGAAACAACACTTAAGATTAGGCAGGCTCTGGTTACCCTATCCCTTACCCATCACAGGCTCCTGAAAGGAAGAACCCCAGGAGCTAAACCCAACTGAACCTGCTGAGTGCATCCAGTGGACATCCAGGACACTTTAGGCCAGGACCAAGTCTAAGAGTAAGAGATGGGTGGACTTCAGGGGTGGATCCAGAGAGGGTGTGGCAGCACAGCCGCATCCCACTTTGGCTGTGTGCCACATACAAAGCAAGCTCTCAGAGCTCACCAGCACATTAGTACAGATTCTGCCAGAGTTTCACATGTGCTGTGAGCTCTATGAGCTTGCCAGTGCATCCTGCTTTCAGCAGTGAAAACTGCTGTGGTCTGCTCTTTCCCTCCCTTCTCCCCCCACCCCATCCCTGAATTCATCAGGAGGGGAAATGAGCAGGGAAGTGGCAGTGGTAACAGCAGAGGCAGAGATGCTCTTCCCAGCTTTCACAGAACCTAAGGACTGCACGCTGCTGCTCATCCCCTCCTTTCCCTGCTGTTAAATTTGGGAGAGGGGGAGGAGGGAGGGAAAAAGCAGACAACAGTAGACCCTGGAGCTGAAAGCAGACTCAAGGCAGGGCCCACACCAGTGAATTCATAGGCTGCATCCAGACCAGCGGTATGTGGCACTGCAGTCATGTCTGCAGTGCCACACACCACACATGCAGGCATTCCCTGTGCTGCTACCTAGTAGTGTGGGGGTTTTTGACTCCAAGGGATCCCAGGGTCAAAAAAACCCACACCACAAAAAAGCAGGGGGCACATGTGGCTTCCTGCCGTGGCTGCAGCCCTGAGACGCCCCCAGGTAAGTCTGCTGGGGCCAGCACAGTTGCTGGCCCCAGCCTCCCCTACCTCACCTAGGGGTACTTGCCGCACACCAGAATGTGCATGGCACAGGCATTCCCTGGGGACAAGTAGCAACAGCACAAGGTGTGCTGTTGCTACTTGTCCCTGAGGAAATAAACATCCTGCTCATCTGGACGTGCCTATACAGCTCACTGTGCGTGAATCACATTTGTGAAGCGGGCCTCAACCCCATCACCATGATCCTTAATTTTCCCATGAATTCCTTCTTGGGAGAAGTAAAGTCTGGATGGGCTGTACTCAGGAAGACCAGGACTGGGACAGAGGTGCAGGTATCCCTGCAGCTATAAGCGTATCTCATGATTACTGGTCATTTGAATTGTGGTTCTTGGGCTTTGTAGATCTCTACCTCCAGAAGGCCCTATGCCTCCGGACCTCTATCCAAGGTGTGTGCTTCTGCTAGGCTCTACCTGGGAGAGACCAGCCTATATCCTTCCTGCATCTGCAGTCAGTTCCACCAGCTAGTACAGAAAGTGGGCTGGGGCCATGACTGCTTCTCTTTTGTGAGTCTTCATCCTTGGCATTCTAGGTAGGAACTACCAAATGCAGCACCTATAATGTAGGCCTGGCTCTTGTGACATAACCATTCTCCCTATACAAGAGAAGTGCCCAGGACTAGCCTCAAGATCTTGTAGGTATGGCAGATCTGTGTTGCAGGGTGTCCCAGGGAAGAACGGGAGAGAGAAGGGATGAATAAAAAAATGAAAGAAAAACACTTACCTACAGCAGGAGCCGCGGTGCAGCAGGGACGAGAAGAAAAGCCCACACAGCTCATCAGCCGCACCTTCATTCAGCTGGGGCCAGCCGGTGACGTCATCTGCAATCGCCAGCTGGCGAAAATAAAGATGGTGGCTGACCGGAGGAGCGAGGAGAGGGAAGCAGATCAGAGCAGAGTTCAGGCTCCAGACCTGCTCCAGGAACCCTCTTGGAGGAGAAAAGGAGCAGACAAAGAGTCAGGAGGAGATCCTGAGCTTAGGCACGGTGGCAGCAGTGGTGGACAAGCCACCGCCGGGCAAAGCAGGTTGGAGACAACCCCTGTGGGCTGCATCACCAGCAAGGACACAGGCCCCAGGGAAAGGTGTGCCAGGAACCACAGATCCACAGGCTGGAGTATTGGGCACGGTCGGGAGGAGGAGGAGGCATCCCCTACAGAGAGAGCTCAGCAAGAGCCCAGGGAGAGTGCCAGGTGAGCGGAGCACCTACGTCACCCATAGGAGGGGTGCCTAACCCCATGTGGGGCACGGCGAACCCATTGGGAGAGAAGATGCCGCAGGAGGGAGGGAAGTGGGGTGGACAAGACCCACAGAAGGAATTAAGGACGACAGAGCCATCACTCCTTACAGAAATAGACTACGACTGGTCTAGTAAGGAGAAAGGGTTCCCCAGCTATATTATAGGGGAACCAAGTTATTGTGGCCTCTGCTGAGAGGAAACAAGGAAGGGAGCCTGCCTGTTACTTAGGGTAGTGGCAGAGACAGGGGCTTGTGGTTTTTGGTTAAGTTTTGTGGTTTTGTGTTTCCCCATGGTGGAGGGGTTGAGAAAGCGAGGTGGATGGGTAGTATAGCCCACAGGGAGTAAAGGGGGCAAGTTGGGCTCGAGGGCTGGAAAACTCAGGACAAAAACAGGCTCCACAAGCTTAACCTACAGGTACTGAGGACCCATGAAGAGGGCCAGTAGAACAGGCCCCAAGAATCCCACACCAATAGGAAGGAGGCTGAGAGTCACCATAACCATAGGAGCAAGAGAAACACGGTGTGATCCACCAAGGTGGCGTGAGGCCGGGGTGTAGGGGTGGCGGACTCTGTGAGTGATCGTCGGGCAACCCATGCACAACAGAGGGGCCCAGGATAGTCAACCATCCTACACTGTAAACATTCAAAGTCGCGGCAGGGGAGACAGGGGGAGACAACTCATGGAGGGACCAGCAACCCTGCCTATGCCGGGAGCCAGGAAGATGCATGACACCCATCGCTCGGTCTAAGGCCTCATGGGAGAGGGTGTTAGAGACGCGGTGGTCACACAGGGATTAATTAATGTTTCCAGTAGCTGCCCAATGACCAAGTACAAGAGGAGTTAATCAGCACAAAGATGTAATCTCAGGTGGAACTAATCCCTTGTTCCACTGCATTCAGAATCAGAGATTGCCCAATGGACATAGAAGGTCCTCCAGAACACATTCTCACTGTTGTCTCCCATGCTAGCCTGCTATCTGACCCTAGAAAAGGATCACCCCTGGGGACAGCTAGTGAGCTCATTGCTGTGCCATAAGTATCAGCCAACACTGAAATATCCTTACTGGATAATACTGATTGTCTAGAACTCTGTTCTTAAGGGGTGTAACAAAGAGCCTAGGGCTCTCTGTTACTTAAAGAAGAAAAGCAGCCCAGCCAGGGAGCTCTGCAGGCAGGCAGGGGGCAGCAGCTGCAGGTCACCAGTGCAACTGGCTAATGGGATACAGCACCTGCAGACGGTCAGATGACTGGATGCAGGCAGTACCATGGGAGCATATAAGCTCAGGGCTGGGGCTAGCAAGGTAAGTCTCTCCCTGGCTGCCTCCAGGTAAGGAACTCCTGCTCTGGAGAGCTCAGAATGCTGGGTTAGTGAAGGTTTATACTCTTAAAGGGGCAGAAGGCTGCTACATATTGTTATTTATATTATAGCCCAGGGGTTTGTATTGTGTTAACCAGTGGTTTGTGGATAAGGCTGTAGGGGAGGTGGAGCCCTCATTAGTGTCTAGGGAGGGCACTTGACTGCTGTGAGCCCTGCCAGAGGCAGACTCAGGGCTTCGACGCTTATCGGGCACAGCCACAGAAAGGCCAGGGGCCTGGTACCAGCAAGAGTACAGCCACAGAGGGGCCAGGGACTCGGTGCCTGAGAGAGGCGCAGCCACACAGTAGCCTGGGGCCCAGCATATAGGAGCCAGGGGCTCAGTGACTA